GATCAACCAGGGCGGTAGCAGCCTCCACTACTTTTCTAAAGGGAATTTCCCTATTTGTAAAGCTGCCATCTGGAAAAATCCTCAGACGTCCGTGTCCCATTACAGACTGGACACCAGACATAGACCTGACATGGCCTTTGGGAGGGCAATTCTGGCGTCGTGTCCGCCTTAATCTCCTTTGCTACTATGTTATACTTCCGATACCGTATGTTTTCTTGGTCTCGATACTGTGTGTTTTTCTTTTTGCACTATTATGTTCAATTGTGACTACGGGTCGCTCTGATGGAGCTTGTCACTAATGTTATTAAACTGTACTTGCACTTGTTTACAAGAAGGATACAGGGCCTGTCTGACATGCGAATGTTTTTTCCTTCTGCCTTGAACGCAAGTTGATTTCTGGGCTCGCTATCGTGCCTTGTACCATGTTTTTTCACATGTTTATTTAACTGTTTAAGGTGCCCTCATCTTGATGAGTGTGTTTTCACTGTGAATCGGCCATCCACGTTTGGCCTGGGAGAATCACGTACTCCCGTATGTTTACCTACCGTACCCTTTGTGTGAGGGGATACGGTTTATTGTTCTTGTTTGCACTTAATAAAATTGTTTGGTCCCTTGATTTGATGGTCGGTTTGCCTTCTTCCCGCCTCCGGGACCTCAGCTTGCTAGTCTCCACAAGTGTGCATTCACAGAGACCACGAAGAAAAATGGTAGGTTACATACCTGTGACCCATCTTTCTTCGAGTGGTGCTCTGCGAATTCACACTAACCCGCCCAGCCTCCCCGCAAGCAAACCTCCAATTTCTCGCTACCGTGGCGGCGTAGGAATTGGAGTGGCGGCGCGGGGCGCCCTTTTATCCCCTGCCGGGGCTGGGCGGGGTTACCGCCAAAACTTTAAAAGTTTTAAAATGTAGAAGTTTCCGTTGGAGCCCGCGCAGGCGCAGTCTCTCCACAAGTGTGAATTCGCAGAGCACCACTCGAAGAAAGATGGTCACAGGTATGTAACCTACCATTATTTTTAGTGTGGGTAACTTGTTTTGTGTTGCATGTGGTGTTTCGTGCCCCTCTACGGCGTAGTTCTGTAAAGTTCCCTTCTGGATCCAACAAAGTTATCTCTCTCTTGGGAACTGTGGTGCATTTGCTGAGCAAAGGGAAACATTCACTGGGCAGGATGAAGAGATAAAAATCCCCTTTAGGGACCAGCTAAGAACATCATACCTGGCTTAAGAACAGTTGTTGTTTTCCTCACCCTTTGCTAGGATTTGTCACTTGCTCAACTGTTCCTGTTTTGGTCAGGGCAAAATTGGGAGAGGGAACATACAGAAAGCTGAATTAAAACTGATTCGCATGTATCTGTTTTCTTTTTAACCCAACACCCATTCTTTTTGTTCCCCCCTCCAGGAAATTCAGCCTGTTGCAGAACCAGTCCAGCCACCCCATAATGAGAGAGAAGTAAAAAAGAAGAGGCAGAGGAAAAAGAAAAAAGACAGATCTGTTGAGAAGGATGACTTCGATAGCTCACTGGTTGATGCTCCTGTGTCATATTCGCAGTCTGATAATGAGCCCTCCTTAACCGCAGGAGAGACCAGGTAGGCACAAGATACGTTTTCCTTTGCTGTTGAAATAATTCATCCAATGCAATAGGCTGTTGTGCAAGAGAATTCCTCTTTCAATAACCCAGTTAACGCTGCAAACTGAGAATTTAATACCGTACTAACTACTCTCTTGTATTCAGGGATGGCATGGTAAAATGAAAGGTTTTTGAACCATCTGGGTGTGCTCACAGTGAAAAGTTTGATCCTCTTTAGTGACAGAATATTAAATTAGGAATGATTCTTTTGGATTAGCAAGTACTACAAGGATCTGATGACCTTATGTATGTAGTGCCGCAAAACTTTTCTAACAGTCGCATTGCGTCTTCAGTACTGATGTCTTTTCCAGCTGCCCATCTGGCAGTTAGCTACGCTTGCGTATTTTATAATATGTGATTTACTGCATACCTACAACTTAGTGTTGTTTCCCTTTCTATGGCACATTGATATATTTTTCTTCTGGGTAAGAAGCTCGAGTAGCAAAGTGACAGGCAGGAATCAAATAATTTCTAGCAGTGTTTGAGAACTGAGCAGGCTTATACATGAACACATTTCACTGATCTTTTTTTTTTTTTGTAATGCTAAATAGCAGTCAAATAAGACTAGGGCCATAGAATTAACCCTTACCCCAAGGTAAATCCCACCCACCATCTTGAAATTGCTTTTTTGACCTGGTAATAAACTACTGTTACCCTCTCACAGAAGTGGTACCTATTGAGCTACTCACATTTGCATGTTTTCAAACTGCTAGGTTGGCAGAAGCTGGACCTAACAGTGGGAACTCACCCCATTATCCAGATTTGAACTGCCATCCTTTCAGTCAGCAAGTTCAGCAGTTCAGAAGCTGAACCCGCAGCGCTCCATGCAGTCACGCTGGCCACATGATCTTGGAGGTGTCTACGGACAATGCCGTCTCTTCGGCTTAGAAATGGAGATGAGCACCAGCCCCCAGAGTCGGACACGACTGGACTTAATGTCAGGGGAAACCTTTACTTTACCTTTTAATAAACTGCCTTTAAGGAAATAAATGAGTATAGGGAAGGGTTCAGTTGAAACAGCTACGAAAGTCAATATAAAGCCTGCATGCTTGCTCCCTCAGCTGTCAATTTTAAAATAATGCATCCAACATCTCATTTCACCTTCAGGGTTTTTCATACATTTGAGTTGTGTTAGTCCGTATCAGTGTACAAAGGGATTTTGTAGCATCTTTATGACCAACCTGCATGTTTATAGGAGATTCCACTTTAATTGTCATAGCTGCACTGTTTGGAAAGCTGAGATTTGTGGTGTAGGAAGGGATATAGAAGTCTCTTCTAAAGAGCTCTAATACTAGAGTTCAGGGGAGTGAAACACAAATCTCTATCCCTCATTGTTATTGTGTTCCTTCAAGTGATTGATGGCTTCTGACAAACCTAAGGTGACCCACGGCTGAATAAAATCCCACAGTATCTGCTTTGAACTGGAATATATGGCAGTGTGGACTCAGATAACCCAGTTCAAAGCAGATATTGTGGGATTTTCAGCTTTGATTTTCTGGATTACATGGCTGTGTGGAAGGGTCCCTGATCACAAGATTGTCCTGGCAAATTTCTTGGGAATATTTTTTTCCTTTGTCTTCAACTGAGAGAATGTGATTTGCCTCTTTGGTCCATTCTACCCTGCCATAGAAAATCCAGATTATCTGCTTTGAATTGGATTATATGGCAGTGTAGACTCATATAATCCAGGCCCCTTCTACACTACCATATAATCCAGAATATCAAAACAGATAATCCACATCATCTGCTTTGAACTGGATTATATGAGTCTACCCTCCATATAATCCAGATCAAAGCAGATAACCTGGATTTTATATGGTAGTGTAGAAGAGGCCTCAGTTCAAAGCAGATGTGAATTATCTGTTTTGATAATCAGAATTGTATGGCAATGTAGAAGGGGCAATTGTTATAAAGAGGGGAATTTGAACCCTGTTCTCCAGGGTTGTAACACAACACTCAAACCACTGCATCACTTTTTTTGTCTGCACTACACTACAGATCCCACAGTTCCATATGTGGAGGCCGTAGCAGATAAAGTGGGATGGAAGCACTATAACATTACCATGCTGACAGACCTGACTGAGACCCCTTCTACACTGCCATATAATCTAGATTATCAAATCAAATAATCCACATTATCTGCTTAGAACAGGATTATATGAGTCTACGCTACCATATAATCCATTTCAAAGCAGAAAATATGGATTTTATATGGCAATACAGAAGGGGCTCTAGTCTCCAAGATGCTATAAGATCTCTTGGAACATTTAAGAGCAAGATCCCTATAGCAAGAACGTAGAGTTGGGTAAGTGCTTTGAGGAGCACATTTGTTTACTGAAGTCAAAGATAACTGAATAGACACAGATCTCAAAGTTGTGAAGATATGGTAATGAATGACATTCAGAGTGTAATTTGTGGCATGTCAGTCTGACTTTTCTACTTTTAAGATGGCTATCAGGAAATCTCTCTTTCTCGTTCTCTCCTATCTTGAAACATCCTTCTGACAGAGGGAGCTGGCCTTTAATGTCTGACTGGAAGGCAAGTGAACCCAGCCAATCTGTTGTTTCACATAATCTTCTTTTTGCTGGGTTTGATGTCAATGAAGAATCAAGATCCCAAACCTCAGCCATAAGCAGGTATCAAGTGTGTGTTGCTGTAAAATTTTCAATAAAACACACTTGCTTGTGTTTTGTGGGCATGTGCATTGATATTGTTGTTGTTTGTGGCTCCCAGAAGCTTGTGGCTCCATAGATGTATACTGGCTTATACTGGCTTTAAAAACAAACAAACCCCGAATTGCATATTTCTATTCAACACTCGCAGGTAACTAATTGAAATTAACCCTATTATGATCTGCTTTATTCTTTCCTTTTGTATAGCATCATCCATTCTTAGAACTTTTTAAAATTGTGATATTAAAGTTGTAGGATCGAAGGGTAGTTTTTATTTATCGTGTCAGAAGCGAGTTGAAGGTACCGTTATAATGTATTTAAAAACACAAAGTTAAAAACTTGGCATTATACTAAATGGCTTTTGACCAGTAGCTGGCCACTTGGAGTGCTTCTGGTGTCGTTGTAAGAAGGTCCTCCATTGTGCATGTGACAGGGCTCAGGCTGCATCATAGTAAGGGGTCTGTGCTCTTCTCCACACTTGCATGTTGCAGACTCCACTTTGTAGCCCTGTTTCTGAAGGTTGGCTCTCTACCTCGTGGTGCCAGAGTGTAGTTTGTTGAGTGCCTTCCAAGTTGCCCAGTCTTCTGTGTGCCCAGAAGGAGTCTCTCATCTGGTATCAGACACTGATTGAGGTTCCGGGTTTTAGCCTGCCACTTTTTGGACTCTCACTTGCTGAAGTGTTCGTGCGAGTATCTCTATAGATCTTAGAAAGATATTTCTTGATTTAAGGCATTGACTTGCTGGCTGATATCTGAACAGAGGATAGGCTGGAGATGTCAGTGTCTTGGTTCTTTCATTACGGGCTGCTACTTCCGGATGGGTGTCAGGTGGTTTAATACCATGTAAACACTATAATTTCTCTAGTGGTGGGTGTAGACATACTGTGATAATGTGGCATGCCTCATTAAGAGCCACATCCACTGTTTTAACATCGTGAGATGTGTTCCACGCTGGGCATGCGTATTCAGCAACAGAGTAGCAAAGAGCAAGGGCAGATGTCTTCACTGTGTCTGGATGTGATCCCCAGGTTTTGCCAGTCAGCTTTTGTATAATATTATTTCTAGCACCCACTTTTTGCTTGATAGTCAAGCAGTGCTTCTTGTAAGTCAGAGCACAGTCCAGGGTGACACCCAGGTATTTTGGTGTGCTGCAATGCTCCAGTAGGATTCCTTCCCAGGTAATCCTCAGAGCTCGAGATGCTTATCCGTTCTTAAGGTGAAAAGCACACGTCTGCATTTTAGATGGATTAGGAATCAGCAGGTTTTCCCTTTAATAGGCAATAAGAAGCTTCTAAAGCAGTGGTTCTCAACCTGTGGTTCCCCAGGTGCTTTGGCCTACAACTATCAGATTTCTGGGAGTTGAAGACCAAAACATTTGAGGACCCACAGGTTGAGAACCACTGTTCTTCTAAAGCTTTGGAGAGCTTCTGTTCAACCATTTCAAAGCTCCCTGGTTGAGCGGTGATGGCACGATCCTCAGCATTGATGAAACTCTTTGAAGGCGAAGAGTAGTGGCTTTTCTCCTGGCTCTTCCGCTGTGCCTTCAGAGAATGACCACTCAACCCATCCAGTTGTTTTAGCCTATAGATGCCCCCAGAATAAAGCACCTCCCCTGCCCCCCAAAATGGCTAAATTCCACTGCTCCTCCCTGTTGGGCTCCTCTCTTACAAATGCACTTTCATCTCTATCTCACCCAGGGTTTTAACTTTTTTAACATTTTACTTCATACATTTGGCCCACCCTCAGTGTCTGATTTTATTATGCTGTTTTATATTGTTGATTTTATTTGTTTGCATATTTTGTTATGATGTATTTTGTTATTGTATGTTTACTATGTTGTATTATTTTGGGCTTGGCCTCATGTTAGCTGCCCCAAGTCCCCTTCGGGGAGATGGTGACGGGTTATAAATAAAGTTTATTATTAGTAGTAGTAAGCAGTATCTACTTTGAGATTTTGTTCGGAGACTTTTTTTTTAACTATTTAGGATTATTTAACTTTTTTAATGTTTTGCCTTTCAAATAACACCAATGGCATGTTACTTGCAAATAGCATAATGTGCTGCAATCACAGTTTGGAGTAACAGCAACCAATTAATTTTTTCCAACCAACACTAATGTGGTAGTTATTTAAGCAATATTTCCAAGTTCATGTTCTAATCCTTTGGTGGAAGTTCATAGCTTGAATCCTGTGTGTTTCTGGAGACTATGTATTTAATTTTTAAATGTGTATAGTCGGATGCATTCCTGTTTGTGTCTTTTTAGTAGTGGTCATGGCTCTAGTTGCCAAACCAGGAGCATTCTAGCCCTGAGATTTCAGAGCTGAAATTTGAGAGCGAAAGACATGCCTGTTGATGTCATAGAGGGAAAGCCCTGGTGATATTATTAAGCATGATGCATTAATCATAAACTGCAGTTGCTCAAAGCATGTAATTCAAATATTAAAAACTAAGTCTAACAAATGAAAAAACATGCCTCTGGTTGGAAAAAATATTTTCTAAGCTCTGTTTTTAACATCTTTGCAAGCACTGCTTTTTGAAACAAGTTGGAGTTGTAACCCAGCCAAAGAAAGTTTTCCAAATTTTGCTTTTGGTGGAATACAGTCTATGGTAGCCACTTCAAAACATCTTGGAGCAACAGCAGTGACATTTGGGTGGGGCAAAAACACACAGTATAATATGCGTAATTTCACAGCAGTTCCCTTGCCATGAGATTATACATCCTTGCCCTGGGGCCTGGAGAACAGAGTTCAGGCCTTGGGATTAAGAATGCTAATCAGGTTGCAACATCTTTCTTGTATCTAGTAGCTGCATCCATTGGGCAAATAGTTTTCTTTTTCTTTCAAAAGCAAGATGTCTCCTCTACCATGACTCCCTCTTCTCCATCTTGCTCAACAGAGCAGATCTAGGAATGTGTGAGGAGGTACATCGAGAGAAAAGTTCTTACTATGTGCTGATGTTTCCAACAACACAAGACATTACAACAGAATAAGGCTACAACTTTATTGATTATCGTTGTACATAGTAGGTTTGTGCGATCGATGAAAAAAAAAGGTTAAAAACTCATTACAAAACTGGGGGGGGGGCTGGTGTTTCATTTCTAAAGTGTTTCAGAAGGATCATTACTGAAAATTTCGTTACTATAACAAGAGTAACAAAAATTCATTACTTTTTTGTTATAGTAATTGTGCAAGTGGGGAAACTCCAGGGGCTCCTTTCTCCCTCGTTTTTACAGCTATTGGGATGAAATTTGCTACAATGGTAGAACACATTTACCACTGTTATCCCATCAAGTTTCACTGTCTTGTAGGACTAGAGCTCACTCCAGCAGAGAATCTTGACTTATTGAAAATAGGCTGTGTGCTGATTCTTATTCCCTCCTACTTGGCTCCTTCCTATGCCATGAGTGACTCAATTGACCAGAAATGGCTGTGGCTGTCTGATCCTTGGATGTTGGGTCGCTGTTTTTCATTTGTTTATTTTAACTGCCATAGTTTACAGTAGAATCTTTCTGCTTTCATTTTCTGGGTCAGAATTTGGGATACAAGCAAGAGCAAACAAAACGGTGAATAAAAATATGGGTTGACATATTTCAAGGGAAGGTTTCAAAATGCCGCTCTACTACTGATACATTTTTATGGCTTTGAGAACATGTTCAGGTAGTGAAGGAGAAACATTTTAGATAAACTAACAAAAATTGAAGTGGCTTTATAAAACCTGTCACACAATCCAAAACCCACAGAGAGCAGGTGTGGCTAGCATAGATGCTTTCTGTTTATTAAAAAAGTTAATACCCTACCTTATATCTGATGTTCTCAGGGTAATGTGCAATAATACAAATGTTTGCCTAGCAAGTGGAGCCCCCGGTGGCGCAGTGGGTCAAAGCACTGAGCTGCTGAACTTGCTGACCAAAAACATCGAAGGTTCAAACCTGGGGAGTGGCGGAAGCTCCCGCTGTTAGCTTCTGCCAACCTAGAAGTATGAAAACATGCAAATGTGAGTAGATCAATAGGTACAACTTCTGTAGGAAGGTAAGGATGCTCCATGCAGTAATTCTGGCCACATGACCTTGGAGGTGTCTACAGATAACGTTGGCTCTTCGGCTTAGAAATGAAGATGAGCACCAACCCCCAGAGTCGGACACGCCTGGACTTAATGTCAGGGAAAACCTTCACCTTTAACCTTTGACTTGTATGACAAATAGCAATAATTTAAAAACCCTAACATATATCTGCATATCTTTGATTCTAAGATGCACACTAATTTCAGTACCCCCCCCCAAAAAAAAGCTTTGTGTGTGCGCCATAATATCACCGGCAATTCTGAGATGCACCCCCCTTTTAGAAATGTTTATATGGGGGTGCATCTTACACTCAAATTAATACAGTATATGTGTTACATCTTCTATCACTTAACAATTTAAAGCCCGGGTTGTTGTAGGTTTTTCGGGCTATGTGGCCATGTTCTAGAAGCATTCTCTCCTGACGTTTAGCCTGCATCTATGGCAAGCATCCTCAGAGGTTGTGAAATCACCTCTGAGGATGCTTGCCATAGATACAGGTGAAATATCAGGACAGAATGCTTCTAGAACATGGCCACATAGCCCGAAAAACTTACAACAGCCCAGTGATTCCAGCCATGAAAGCCTTCGACAATGCAATTTAAACCCCATTAAAACAATTTAAAATAATCCCAACCATAGCATATGTGCAAATGGGATAAAACCAATTAGGCCTTGATGATTAGGCCCTGGATAGTTGCTACATCTAGTTAGTATAAGTAAGAAGAACACGAAGAACACAATCTAAACATGATGTAAAAAGGACATCCATACATTTTAATATATGTTGTAATTAATGCATAGGGATAAATGGCTTATCACATGGAATCCCTTACCATCACATGGAAATCTCCTTTGGTAAGTGAGTCTGCTAAGCTATCTCACCCAAATTGCTTTCAGCATGGGGCCAGACAGGTCATGAACTTGTAAATCCAGGTTCAGGAAAACGTTGCCACTCCTAAGGTGTTAGCAACTGGCATATCTTACACAAGGCAAATACATTGTAGTAGGATCCTCAATGTAATGGTCCATCCTATTTGGAAAGCTTTTGTAACTCAGCTGGAGACACATTTATTTGAAAGTAAGCCCTGATGATGGGGATCAGAGCCTTAGGAAGATTTTAGTTAACAACATGAACTTCTCAGGATTCATGCCTTCATTTATTACTTTGAATTCAATAAATAAAAAATATACCTTACACTTGTGGCATTTTACTTTGGAGATCTCCTTGAGAGATTTTCCCCTTAAAGGAAAGATAAACTTTAAAAACAAAAAGGAATGCGTCATCTGGCCTTTCTGTTCTTATTTACACCGTATCACACATACATACAAACATTATACTTGACTTTTGTAAAATATAAAGCAGCTAGGAAACATGGGTGCAACACAGTTTTGCGAATATGTTCCTCAAATTCATTTGTCCATCTGTTCATACATAACCCATATCTGCTTTGAATTGGATAATGTGAGTCTAGACTGCCATCTAATCAAGTTCAAAGCAGATAATCTGAATTTTATATGGCAGTGTAGAAGGGGCCTGAATTAACTGGGTATAAATGAAAAAGTGGGATGACAAAGGATTAACTGGGACTGACATTGCCAAATTGAGACAGTTGGAGGATATACAATTCCTGCAACTGCAATTGTTATCTTATCACAGGAGCCCCCGGTGGCGCAATGGGTTAAACCCATGTGCCGGCAGGACTGCTGACCGATAGATCAGTGGTTCGAATCTGGGGACAGCACGGATGAGCTACCTCTGTCAGCTCCAGCTCCTCATGTGGGGTCATGAGTGAAGCCTCCCATAAGATTGGTAAAACATCAAACATCCGGGCATCCCCTGGGCAACGTCCTTGCAGACAGCCAATTCTCTCACACCAGAAGCGACTTGCAGTTTCTCAAGTCACTCCTGACATGAAAAAAAAATCTTATTACAACAAGATAATCAGTTTTATCCAACTGTACCTATAGTTGTCCAACCACTCTTGCAATCACCTTGCCTTTAAAAAGGAAGAACGTTAACCACTGGCTTATAAACTGGCAACATCTGCATTCAGGCAAAGTTTTTTTTCTTCTCAATAGTACCAAGACTGTAAAGGGTTAGTTGTTTTCTCCCCACTTGGAGTCCTACAAAATAAATAAAGTTCGGATCCTGGGATATAGGGCAGTATAGATCCAGCCTGTGCATGACGTGTGATTGAGAGGAGGTTTGGGATTTAACCCTTCCCATGAGGCTCAGCAAAAACAAACTCTCCTAGCTTCTGTCCCATCTCCCCTATAATAAATTTCAACATCTAGACCACAGTCCAATGTCGCTTGGTCACATGTATCCTAGGTTTCATCTGAGAAATATTTAAAGTTATGGGGTGGGAACGAGGCTGCAGTTCCCTTACAGAAGATCCCGAAGGGCCATACCTCCCTGGAAGGAAAATTGCAGAGGTATATCAGTGTCATTGGCTGCAGCCATGGAACTATAAAGCAACCTTGGGGGCCTACATGCAACTCACAGCCTAGATTTCTCCTGGTGTGGATCACTTCCAGGCTTTCTTTCAGGAACAATATGGCATAAATTGCTTTGGGACATGATCTTTTAAAAAGAAAGAAAGAAAGAAAGAAAGAAAGAAAGAAAGAAAGAAAGAAGGATGAAGGAGCTGTATCTGGCTGATACTCTTGGGCCTTTCACTAGCTTGCAACAATCTGGAAATATTGTCTTGACTGGAGTGTGGGAGGCACTGTTTAGCAGTCATGCTACATGGTTGGAGAAGGTGTCTGTTGTTGGGGTTCATGGTATGAATTTCTATGGGACTCCTTCCTTTGAAATATAGCCCACAGCACCTGGTGTTCACCCATCCAAGTACTAACCAGGACTGACTTTATTTAATTTCCAAGATCAGATAGGATCTGGTAGAATATTTTAAAGGCAAAGCATGATTGCATGGCAGTTTAAGATTTAGCTTTACATGCAACAAAGATTGTCTTTGTTCTTATGAGGCACTTTTTTAAAAAACTTAAAACATATAGTGTTTGAGCATGGTTTATTATAGCATAGAAAAGATCAGAGATGGGAAGCATACCAATATTTTGCCACACGCCGGACTCTTTACTACACATGCCTCCTTCTCAAAAGGAAGGAATATAGAGGTTTTTTTGAGGATCTGAGGCCCCTTCTACACTGCCATATAATCCAAATTATCAAAGTAGATAATCCACATTATCTGCTTTGAACTGGATTATAAGAGTCTATACTCCAGTTCAAAGCAGATAATCTGGATTTTATGGCTGTGTAGAAGGGCCTGAGTGCCTTTATTACCACAGGTAGTGAGTTTAGAGATACACTGAGTCCTGGGAAATATATGCTGCATTGGCCATACAACACAGTCCAGAATCCACAAAACAGTAATATTTCCAGTTAGCCCAATAAAGGTATTGCTATTTTGTGCAATTTGATTAATAGATTACCGTTGATTACTCCTGCACACTCCTGAGCCAGGAATTGTCCTCTCCTTGCCAAACTACTGTCTCCCCTGCTAATCTTGAAGTCCCAAAAGGCAATGATAACTTATTGTTAGTTTAGTTTCTGGTGGGCTGCTGTCCATGTCCAGTGCTCCGGATTCAGTTTGGTTCCTTGCATTCTTAACAACTGAGTTGCCTGCTCATTACAAAGTCTTATCTAGGAGAAAATTAAGGATCAGACTGGTAGCAGTCAAAGGCAGCAGCTACCTATCACACCTGGCATGAAAAGGCAAGAAACTGTCTGAATCTTTGGTCTGGAATTCACTAGGAATCTTGGTGGAAAGGTGGTTGTGGCTTTACAATCTCATCACATTAGATACATTCCCCAATCCTATGATACTTCAATGTAGCTGGCACGAAGCCTGCTGCATCTTAGCCCATGATGCATGTGACGGCACGCCCAAGCCTTTGGGAAAACTATATTGTCTGGCTTTACTCGGGGCCTAGTTGATACCTTCTGTTAAGATTAAGACCCTTAGCAGACAGATGAACTTTAGGCAAGGTGAAAAGACAACCAAATGAGTTTTCTGAAACAAGATGAATAAAGGGTTAACTCCACATGGAACTATCATAAGGTAACGTAAAACAATACATTACAAAAGGAGGTTTTGCTGGTTGCAGTCATCTTTCTGGAATCTTTGAAAGTCTCTTGCCTCTGGTGTAAAGCGATGGTTATAAACTGTCCCAATCTTCTTCCTCGTAAAGCTTAGGCTGGCCAAAAGCTTCTGTTGTCCCTTGGACTGCTGGAATAAAAATACTACTAAATGCAGTAGCTAAGGATGGCTGTTTGAATTACTTGGGCCTAGGAATGCCCCAAGCTTCTAGAGACTGTAGAAAAGGGAGTAGTCCAGCAAGAGAGCTCTACACAGGGAAATGGAATAGACCAACTAAGGCAGGCCTCTGGGAGGTGTTATGCTCCACCCAGAAACTAATATAAAGGAAGGTATCTACACTATTGGGAAGTCCTATAAACAGGGGGAACTAAAGCAGAGAAGAGAAGGCAGTGCCAAGACTTCACAATGCACATCTATCTTAAGCAGGGCTCCATACTGGCTTCATCAAGGAAGCGTGGTAGAAGATGGGAACTTGAACACAGGAGACTACCCGTGTACAGGTAGAGAATCATGGGGACAGCGATGGATCATGCTGGAAAGCTATGCTTTTGGGCATGTGAAGGGCAAGTGGGTGGTGCGGGTAATGCAGGGTGCTGGGTGGCAAATTTGCCCTGCTGCCCAATTTGCCCCACTGCCCTATGGGTCCGCCCGCTGCCCCCTGCATCAAGGACCTCGATGTGATGAGATCCTGGGTATTTGTTCACAATAGTAGAAGATTAATTATCTGAAAAGGTCACAGAGTTAGGTGGCATAATAGTAGGAAAACAGTAGATCCAAAGATAGTAGGTTCAGTCTCTTGCATATAAATAAGTAGCCATTTCATGGTGGCCCCTAACACACCATCTTCACTTTCAGTAGTTCATTGAGTGCCATCCTTATTTAATGTGGGGTTACTGTAAACATTTGGTGGGCCATAGTCGGTTGAAAAAACCACATTAGTGTTGCAGTCTTAATTTTTATTTGTAATGCAAAAAGTAAAACTAAAGTAGTATTGAACTTTGTGTCCTTTTACAGACAGGAATAATATCATCCCTGCATACTAAAGTTTTCCACCTGAAATTCAATCCCGTTCTGATGAGTTTTCCATGTTTGGCATTTGTTTTAGGATTTATTTTATGTGTATTATGGCGCAAAGGAGAGAAACAGCATGCAGCTCAATAAATTATTTAAAATGAGCCATAGGAAGTTAATCCACGTATCTCACATGTTAGGCTGAAGGAGTATATTTCCATGTAATGAATCCTTCAGAATTTTTTATGACGTTTGTGCCTCTGGTCTCTTGCCTCATGAAAGCAGACAGGCAGCTTTTTAGTGCATGTGCCTGCATGGCTTTGAAACTTCTGTGGTGTGATTTTTTTGAAAAATATTTTTTTGTGTTGCACTCTGTTGCTGAACTGAAATGAATATACATTTCCATTGTTGGCAGCCTTAGTAACGAAGGCCAAGACAGTAATGCTGGTGAAGAATCACCCGGTGTAAAGACAATTGCAGTATCTCCAGAGATGACAGCACTGGAGGACATTCTGCATGAACAACAAGATCAGGCTGTGTCTGACTTCTCAGAGTGGGCTAATGAAGGAACAGAAAGCCAAAGTCAAGTTGTGCCATTGTCTTTGGTAGCATGTGCCAAGGAGCATGTTGCCGTGAGTCTTGGAGATAGCCATGGGGAGTTACCTGGCTTGCTGTCAACCACTGTGAATGACAAAATCACAAGAACTATTCCTGATGCATCTCTCAGCAATTGCTCAGATGCTCAGCAACCTGTTGCTGCTTTTGCGATAAAGGATGAGAAGAATTCAGATGAATTTAGCTCTGTGTTGGATCCCTTGTCAGATGCCACTTGGATGTCAGAAACTTGGATTGCACAAACTGTTTCCAGTGAATTAGATTCATTACAGCAGAGCGGAGAGCTGAATGACAAGAGAAAGGCACATGGCATTTTGTTACCCATGAATGAAGAAGAGCCAGATTACAGTATCACTCAGGAGACCAGCCAGGAAGCAGGAGTTTTGGAAGTGGATCATGGGGAGCAAACTTTAATAAAACCAAGTATACAGAACGCAGATGGCTTAAACAGCTTGGTAATGAAAAAGGAAGACTTAATCCGAAATTGTTCCACGGCAGAAGGTTCAAGCGTTGATGGCCAAAGTTGTGTCATCCTCAGTGAAAGCAGCACTGATGCGACAATAAGCAAAGGAGGTGAATCCCACGAAGTTTCTCCTGAAGAGAATAGGGAGTGGTCTTATCCTGGTTCTGTCCTGTCCAGTATGTCCTTTAACCCTTCTGATTTGTCTCTGATAACCATGATGGAAGAGAAACCCAGCGACTATACATCTGAAAAAGAATGCCCAGATCAAACCACAAGTAAACCAGACAGCCTCTGTCTTACCAAAAGAGAAAACCACAGTGTGAATTTACTAGTGAGCCCTGTGCCTCCCAGTGTGTCTTTATTGCCTGAGGAAAGTGAAAAGCAAAAAGAAAGCACTGCCTCTGAGGACAGACCAGAGCATGCCAACGGCAAAGAAATCACACAAGCTGAGTGTGTCAGTGGAGAAAACATTGCTCTCACTGACCCAGAAAATCTTGTGTATTTTGTGACAGAAGATCCAACTGTAGATAAAAGATTGTCCCTGGTGGAAAATGTAAAAAACTTCACAAGTGAGAATGAGCTTACCGAGCTCATTAAAAAAGATAGTCTAGTACCTCCGGAAAACAAAGGCATTTCTTTAGGAGAGGGAGGAAGTCAGGAAGAGCTGGTTTTAACAAGTCCTCTCATACAGGAAGAGGTAAACTGTTCTCAAGGGACCTTGCTAACCTTTGATAATAACAAAAGGGAAGAAAGCCCTAGTGCTAACTGGGGTGATTACTGGAGCTTTCTGGCAAACAGGGTTCAAAGCGATGGCAGTGGCAAAGATTTAGACAAAGACTTCAGTTCTGAAAATAACCAGAATGCACCTGAAGACCATTTACCTGAATTTAGTATGGAATCGGATAGAGAGAAAACAGTCCCACAAGAGAAAGAGGATAAAAGCCTTTTGTTTCTGCAACCACCACATTTACAAGAGAAAAGGTGCCCACAAAGCTGTGATCTTTTAACGGAAGATACACTGCTCAGCTTTCCAGTCTGTGAAATGACAGAGAAAGTTTGTTCAGCAGACACACATGGTTCACTGCTGCTGCACTCTGCGGACAATGCTATTATGCAAAAAGAGCGAGATGGATCCTGGGAGTGCACAGTTCCTCAAAAAACTGAATGGGAGTTGGAAGGCCAAACTACGCATGAAAAAACATCTGAAAGCAACGCAGCCTTTGCAGAAATAATACCAGTTCCTAATGCAGAGCTTGAGCATCAGGACTTAAGTGAACAGGCAAAGATTGCTGGGTGCATTACAGTCGTGAAAACAAAAAGCCAGGAGGATGTATCCTGTTTTGAAAGCAAACAACAGAAACTGATTTGCAGCGATGCTGACAGTGTACCTGTGGCAGTTGCTGAGCCAAGCAATGCTCTGGGTCAGACAGAAGGCAATGAAAGGGGTCAAGAGGAATATAAAACTGAAATGAAAAGTCAGGCGACTGACACAAATGTGGCACAGCAAGTTGAAAGCAAATTGGACCCCCTGCAGGAAGTACAGCAGGAACAAGCAACGGAGGAAAATAATCAAAGTATGAAGGATGATTATTCTGACAGCCTACTACTAACAGCAAGCATTGAAAAGGCTGATTTCCAGCAGCCGGATCTGGGGGATGTACAAGATCACAACACAAGAGAGCAGAATGATGCATTAAAGAGCAATGATGGAGAAACATCTTTGGACACTCTTCACAGAAAGACTGCAGACATGCAACAGATGGCGGACACTCTCACACCATCACCACAAGCGGAACTGAATGACAGCCTGGAGTCCTTTAACGCCACTTTCAAAGATCAACAGCACCCTTCAAAATCAGAATCTGAAAATGTGGATCATGCCAATCTTATCACACTAAGAAGTTCTGATGAACAACAGCTTAATGAAACTCCACCTGAAAAAGTACACTTGCTGGATTCAGATCAACCTGTAGGCTCTCAGCCCCCATGTGAAAGTGAAATTAAAGTAGTTATAGATGATCTTTGTGGACTAACTGTGAAACCAAATTATCCAACAGCTGTCACAGATGAAAATGCACCTATGCCAAGTTTTTCTGAATACCTGGATACTGTGCAAATCAGCAACCTAAATAGTCTAGGAAGCAGCCAAGTGGAAGAGAGTTGTCTTGACCAACAACCAATAAACAAGTCAAACCAGGATGTTTCTGGTTCTCCGATTTCATGCAGTCTTTATGATGGAGCAGGTCATAGCAATGATTTCCATGATGAAGAATCTGGCATAAACCAGCAATCCAGTGGACTGAAAGACCATGCACATGAAAGCACCATTGATTTTATAGAGCATGATCCAAGGGTGCAGAAAACACTTCCTCTGAAAGTTGAAGAGCCACAGGCATTGCTTGCAGATTTCCAAATGATTTGTGCTGATGGCAGCTGTAAAGATAATGGGTCTGACCTTAAAGTAACAGAATTGGCAGAAAAAAGCTCCTTTACAAAAATAGAAGAGAAGCCAAGTTTAGTGGTTGAAACCACCTTGAAATATGAACCTGGAGAAATAAATTATGAAAGGGACTTGACTTTCACAGGAGCTGAAAATGCAAAAATACAGGAGCAGAGTCCTGCATTACCTGAAATCACAGATATGGCTTCCAGCAATACTTTGAATAAAACAGACAGCATTCAAAACACAGAGTTCCTACCTGCTGGCTCCCAGGCAGATCTAACAGTTCTTTCCGTGCCTGCATTTTCACATGATCAGCACACCGGAGTGAGCCAACCACCAACAAAATGCATGAATGATGGCATTGTGGATGGATTACAAAAGGATGAGCTAGAAATTACAGCATGCCAAGGCTTCTTAGGTGCCACTCCCAATTTTCAGATTCTTGCTCCAGCTGCTACACCTATACACTTGGGTGATCCTTCAGCAGAGAAAGGTACGGCAGATCAAAAGAAGCCCGAAGTATCACATTCAGACAATATTCCTGTAGAGTCAATCCCTGGGAAGGACTCAGTGATTCCAAGCCAAGGTGAAGAGAGTTCCTTCATCTCACAGGACTCTTCTGAGGCAGGGCACCCGGGAGGAGATTTATCACCTTTTAATTTCAAGAAACTACAGACCGAGATCTCGGCAATTAAAACAAAAGGAGCCAAAAGTGATGTAAACTTCAAAGCCCAGCAGTTTGACAGCTCGGTAGAATCTCTCTTCAGCCTTTCAAGCTTAGAAGAGAAGCTTCAGAGCCTTTCATCTTTTGGTAAGCAAGCAGACTGTAATGAGGGCATTGCAACAAACATTGCTTGTGTAGATGACAAGCACAGTAAGAGTCTGGAAAGCATAAGGAATGCAGAAAAAATCCAGGGTGCTTTTGCAGAGAATTTTAGTATCCCCAAGATGGAATTAAGTACTCCTAAGTCTGCAGCAAGCTGTGAAAAACAGCATGACGAACCATCTTCTGGGACATTTGGCATTGGTTTTTTTGATTTCAGGAAGCATATTAGCAAAATATTTGAAAAGACGGTTCCAAGTACTCTGGCTGCTGAGGTGACTCCTCATTCAGCTGAAAACAGTGCAGGTGAGAGAGAGAGCTCATCAACCCAACAAATATCACAGTGTGAACAGGGACAGAAAGAAACTGATGAAATGATTGGAAATAGAGACCTAGACGATGGTCAGAAAACAGAGGGATCTGAGTTCCCTTCAGAAGCTGGGACTTTTGATAAAGTTATTAAAGAAAAAATAGTGCAGGAAGAAAAACTTTTGATAAACCCCCCAGAGGATTGTATGTCTGATGCTTTTTCAGAAAACATCCCTATTAAAAAATATTCCAAAAGTGAAGAAGCTCTGCCAAATTTGCCAAAGTTAGATAGTCAGGTAGAGAGTTCCAGCAGAAGCATGATGGAGGCAATGGTAAGTGAATGTGTTAGTGCTGTAAGCAACGACAACGAGGAGGATTGGAAGAGCCTTGAAGTAGGAAAGTTGCAGCCAGTGAATTCTAGCAGCTCAGAAACAGAGGATTTACCTCTCTCTTCTGAGAGTGAGCTGTCTTTAATGATTACTGCCTTGAAGGAATCTGTTCCAAAGAGTGACTTTGGCGGAACGACGATGGCAGAAGTGGGAGCAGGTAATTTAATTAGTCTGGATATTGCAGAACCAGGTTTATCTGGAAATCAGTGCCACGGCTCAATGCCGAGTGTGGACAAAGAAACTGAAGAGAATATCACTGACCTAGACAACACCTTAGTATTATCACCTCTTCTAAATGATATTTCTGTGCACAATGAACAAATGGAGCAGTCCAGCAACCTGTCTGATGAAACTCAGAAGAAATCTCCTTCCAGCAACCTTTTGGATGAAAATATACTTCAGGAAAAAGTCTTTGAAAGCGCAACCTTCTTGACAGAATCAGTAGAGAGACAAGAGCAAGAGAAAACACAGGACACAGCAACACATGGACTAATATATTACTTAAAAAATGAAGTAAACCTTGATGATGATTCTCCAGGTGACTCCAAATCCAACAGTGTGAATGAAGGGTGTAAGGAAGAAAGGAATGACATCATGTTGAGCACAGCAGAAACAGAAGAACATATTTCTTTTGACAGCCCTAAAACAGGTATTGCAAGCACATTATTTACTGCTGACTGTGTCTCAGCCTTGCAATCTAGCATATGTGATCAAGGAATTGATGGAGAAGGTTCAGACACCATTGAAAGGATGGAGTCAGAATTGTTTTCTGATGCTGCTTCTCCAAATCAATCTGGAGAACAGAATTTGGCCCTTGAGAAGACCATTATGGATGTCCAGCACAAGGAATCAACCACTTCACTTGTTGAATCTGAACAAGGCCTTCCTAGTGCATCTCAAAACCTGGACATGGATGACTTACCAGCTGAAAGGTAATTATTTACATTTATATGTTACAGATATTTGCTTTTATGCTGAAGCTGAAATAAGATTGTACATAGTCACGTTGGATCAGTTTTTGATTTCATAGTGATAGGTTGAGCTGCTAAATGCAAAATAATTACTTGAATGCTAGAGGGAAATGGATTTCTCCCCTGTAGATTTTGATCTTCATTAAGGAGAAAGTTCATGGTTTGATGTAGGTCTTAATAACATAGTTTGGGATTTGTATAAAGTTAGAACTTCACCTGCGGGTTCTATTTATTATTATCTATGTCACCTAGATTGCAATCCTGTATATATTTTCCTAGGTTTAACTCCCTTTAAACTCAGGGAGGCTTTCTTCTTAGTAGACATCTAAGGTATTTCACCTTTATAGCGTTATGGTTTCTCAGTTGTAATTCAAATGATCCTTAGGACTTGGAAACAAGATAGCTCTTGCGTTATTTTGAAGAATCGACATAATTGTGTTTTCAAATGCTTCTGAAGGGTTTGACCAGGGCCTTTACAATGCTACTTACTGCAAATAAATCATCAAATGTTAGCTGCTGTTCTGAAATGCCCCGTTGACTTTGTAGTCAGTGTTGTTGACACATTATGGTTGCAATTAGTAAGTTATGCTATATTCAGGTCAAGTCTTACTATGTCTGTGATTGTATATCTGAGATCTAAATACCCATCTTGGTTCTCCCACTGAGACCCCTTCCACACTGCCCCTATATCCCAAGATCTCATCCCAGATTATCTGTTTATCCCAGGTTATCTGGCAGTGGGGACTCTGCCAGGTAATCCAGTTTAAAGGAGATAAACTCCTGGGATATAAGGCAGTGTGGAAGGACCCAAGGAAAATACATTAAGATCACCAGGCTACGAAGCAATTCAACAGGTTGCTTCTCTCTACCTTCCCTCCCTGATTTGCTGTCCTGTTTCCTCCTTTCAAACTTGAGATGGGTTGAGGAAGAAGGCTTCAACCTGTGTCTGGTCTTGGAGTTAATTTAATTAAAAATGGTTTCAATACAAATTGAAATCTACCTTGTATTAATGTTGTTTTAGAGAACATTTTCTTTGCTTCCTTGCCCCACCTAATATATTCCATACTTTAAAAAAAAAGCATTACATTGAATTTCAGGACAAGCTTTCACTGAATAATTCTCAAGGCTATATACTTAGACTTTCTCCTCTAACTAATGATATTCCTGCTTTTTCCCTAACCTCAGCACTTTTCCTGAGCTCTGTCACTCTTTCCTTGCTGTACCTGAGAAGGACATTATAGCAGTAGCAGCCAACGACACCTCAGATGAGGCGAGAGCTGACGTCAGAGCAGAAAGGTACAGTGGAAAGCATTAACTCTTTCAGAGAATACTGCTGCTCTGGTTTCAGGATCATTTGTTTTGGAGAGCATGACAACAAAGTTGAAAAACTGTAGCTAGGTCTGAGCTCTGCTATTTTTTTATCAGTACAGATAGTAAGATAATGTTATGGAAGGAAACCAATGCGTCCCTCCACCCTGTAATTGGTACTTCATTTGTGCCAGCAGTCTTTCACAAGCGAACCTGCTCTCAGGATTAAGTCTCAGCACTTAGTCATGTGAATTAATAATGGAGAGTGCTTTTTTACACAGAATTACTCTGTTCCTTTCCTTCATGAATAAGCACAGCATCTCCAATACATTAAGAATTACGACAAAGACCTTCCAGGGTATGTGACATCCTTTGAGATGCCATTTGTTTTATTTTCATGGCTCTTGTGTTTTAGCAAATGGGTACCATGAAAAGACATAATACAATCAAGTCAACTTTGCAATGAAATGGTGGCAGGAAATATCTTACTTGGACACTGTGGGTCCAGGAGGTGATCTAGATACAATAACTTTGTCTGGAGAGAAGCAAATGATAACCTCACTTCCAGATGGACTTAGGGCCCTTCCACACTACACATTTATAGTGCCATGTTTCCAATTTAACTCCCATGGCTACATCCTATGACATCCTAGGAATTGTAGTTTGGGGAGGCACTAAAACTCTGGCAGACAATTTTAGGTGTATCTTCCTAAATTGTAAATTCTGGGATTTCAAAGGATGCCACCACAGCAGTTAAAGTGAAATCACAGCATTATTATTGCATGATGTGAAAGGACCCTTAAACTCTGATGTCTCATTTCTCTTTGAGGCCTATTTGTAATCTCCAACTCACATCATATTAATGCAGTGGTTCTGAACCTGTGGGCTGTGGACTACCAGTGGGCCACGAGGACAAAAATCTGGTCTGCAAGCCTCCTTCCTCTTTATTTTATTTTATTTTATTTATGCTCTTTTCACACCGCCTGCCACTGACCAGCTCCAACCCCTTGGAGAGACCACATCAGCTCCAAATTATTAAATATGGTTTTCTGTGGAAGAGCAGATAGTGTCTACTGGATGGCATATGTTCTGTATCAGAAACTACAGCTGATGTGGTCTGTCCAATGCAGTTTTCTATATCAGCACACCAAATAACCAAACCAAATCTAAAGTTGACCAAACACCGATTCGTAACCCTTTTGGTACTAATGTAGGAGAGTGGTCCCTGGTCATATTGCTCCTGGTCAAGTGGTCCCTGGTTAAAAAAAGGTTGGGAACCACTGTATTAATGTGAATGCATATGAAGTTGACAACATGGTGAAGTTTAACTTGTGGGAATATTATTTTAGTGGGAGCTTGAATACTTGACTACTTAATAAGCAGGTAATATGTGTGGAACATGCTGTGTTGCAGACTGAAAATCAAAATGCCAGTTACAATCTTTTGTTTATATTTTGGAGGAAAATCTGTCATTGTTCATGAGAGCAAAAATGGTTTCAGTTACTTTGAAATGACATGCAAGACATTTTCATTTTGGAGCTTCTGAATTTCTCAGAAAAGAGGATTTTGGAGACCTGACTTTTCTATCCTTTTTGCTTTTTACTGTATTATTAGAGAAGGGGCATGCCTTTTCTGAAATAAATTGTCAGTTGTATATCCATTGGGAAGTTTAGAAAGAAGTAAAGAGCACTTATATTTTTGGAAAACAATAACAGGCTACCTATGTTGATACCTGTAGCAAAAGGGATGGTGTCTTGAGCAGCAGCTGCTAATTCATAACTCCATTTCTTTCTGCTTGCTTATGTGCAAGGAATTTTTTATCACCTGTTTTTCCTGTCTGAGGATTTCTTCCAAGTAGCAGCAGCTGCTGCTTTGTGCAAAACAGCTTCCTTTTTTAGCTGCATGCCTCTGGATATATACATGCCGCATAGGAATATAGAATAAAATGAAGCAGAGATACAAAAATATAGGGCTTTCTAGGGCAATTTAGAAGGAAGACAGCCTTTGTTCAGACTTGCCTGTTTCAGGAGGAATAAATAACACTATGTAACACGATTTTTGTTCCTGTGTTACAAATGTCATTTCCTAATTGCTTCTATCATAAAAACATGGGAAAAGTTTATTAAACTGCAAAAACTTTGTTTTTGCGGAACATCCTGCAGCACATTTTGCTATAGTTTCTCAATGAATATCTCATAGAGCAGTGTTTCTCAACCTTCCTAATGCCGTGACCCCTTAATACAGTTCCTCATGTGTTGATGACCCCCAACCATAGCATTATTTTAGTTGCTTACTGTAATTTTGCAACTGTTTAAATCATAAATATCTGATATGAAGGATGTATTTTCATTCACTGGACCAAATTTGGCACACATGACCTATACGTCCAAGTTTGAATATTGGTGGGGTTGCGGTGGCGGGGGGATTGATTTTGTCATTTGAAGGTTGTAATTGCTGGGATTTATAGTTCACCTACAACTGTCATAGAGTATCAACCAATTCAACATAATTTGCAGCAGCCATAGAAACAAAGTTTTTGAAGTATAACAACTATGTTTAAAGTAAGCACCGCACAATTAAACAGGAAATAACACTTGCAAAGCAGGAACAGAAAATTTTTGAAATTTTGTTACATAGTTTAACATGTATTACTAGATTTCCTTTCCCCTGTTTTATAGTGCTTTGAACCAACCATTCTTAGGAGTAGGAAATCTGAAGCATTGTAAGCAAATTCAACTTGGAAGGCTGGCCTGTCCGCTTTTTAAAATCCTCTATCTTTTACAACTTTTTCTATCTTGCAGCGGTACTCTCTCCGATTTGGGAAATGTAGTCCCTTTTAGCTGTGGACGAAATTGGTCTATTTTTTAAATTTGGGGCATTATAAAATATTTGTTGAGTGGCTTCTTGGGCGTGCTCAAACGCAGGCTAGGTGCTGAGTTTCAGCTGGTATACAGTTTTGAAACTTGGACCCCATCCAGAAGACAAGGCACACCTGGAGATCAAATAGTTCCCAACACCTCCAGTAAAGTAAGCCTCAAAAGAGTAATTAGAATGTGTGTTTCAAGGGGGAAATTACCTTTTAAAAGCTCAAATGATGTATTACTCAGTTCTGTGAATTTGCTTGTCTCTTGTCTCTCAGCAGGAGAAAAGCAAACGGACCACTTGCTCAATTCGTCTCACTATTTTTCATGCCATACTTCGCTTCTCAAGTTGTAGGGGTTTGTGTTGCTTTGTTAGTTATAGAGAAAAAAATATGTCCTTTCTATGATGGACAAAATGGTCCTTTAAGAAAAAACTTTCAGAAGTTTGGAAAACTAGATGCTAACAAAGCTGCATAGCAAATGTGTATTGAACTCTTATATTACAAGAGGATTGTTTTGTAGAACATCACCAGCTATTGAAACCATAAATAATTTGATGTTCTTCTGGATGCTAACCCTCCCTTCTATGCAAAAATCCAAAACAAAATTTTATTTTGAAAAATAGAATTGCCTTTTCTGATTCTACTCTAGTTAACCAACAAAGAAATTGGGAAGGCATTCTTTCAGGTATTTATTTCTTGAGGCAAACCAAGAATGGGCAACTTGGAAGTCCCTGAACAGACTCAGAAGTGGAGCGGGCAGATCAAAAGACAATCTGGCAAAATGGCACCACCTAGAACAGTGGTTCTCAACCTGTGGGTCCCTAGATGTTTTGGCCTTCATTTCCCAGAAATCCTAACAGCTGGTAAACTGGCTAGGATTTCTGGGAGTTGTAGGCCAAAACACCCGGGGATCCACAGGTTGAGAACCACTGACCTAGAAGAATCTTCCACCTTGTTTGACAGTGGAGCAGAACAAACAACTCCACATCTGTATGCTTGTCCACAATGCCCTGCCTCATGCATAGAGGAAGAATTGTTTACAGCTACAGACATTTATTTATGAAATGTGCCACTTTCTAAATGCACATTTTCTTAGGGACAACATAGACTAAAATAAAAAAAATCAACATCACTAGTTGAAGATGTTAACTAATAATAATAATAATAATAATAATAATAATAATAATAATAGGAGGAGTAAGGGCATTGAGAAAAGATTTAAACCTTTTCTCACTGCCCTTCCCCCATCTTGTCATACTTTCCTACCCCTCCCTCCTCACCCTACAATCCCCTTTTACCATATCCCACACTAATCTATATCTATATCTTTATATATCTATCTCTATCTAAAGACCATAATTTTTATGCTATACTATTATTTTAATGAACTTTTAAAAATTTAAATAAAGATTATATTTAAAAACTTTAATGATGATGATGATGATGATGATAACAACAACTTTATTTACAGACTGCCCTCTCTCCCCGATGAGACTCAGAGCGGTCTATAAATATAAAGGTTTCAGAACTTTAAATAACAACGTAGAGTGATTTCCAAATGAAGCTCCCAAATAATAATTTTAAAATGCTCAATGGAAATGGCTGAAAGTCAGTTTCTAAAATGTTGCCCGAGTCTAGGTATGGTAAATTATCCATTGAAGCTGGAGGAGGAAGACAATGGTGGGGCAGATAGAGGAAAACCTGTGATATTCTAAGAAAGATGTTGTGCACAAAATCATGAATATGCAGGTGAAATAAAACCAAAACAAACTGGAAAGTCTCAATACTTCCAGTTATACCCCCCCCCCCTTTTCTGAACTTGTTGTCTGATTGACATAAAGTAGCTGCCATGAATAGACAGCTACTTTTCTATATTTTTTAGATAGCATGAAAGTCTCAATTTTATAGTGATATCAATGGAAGTGCTCCTGGCCTGGGCGGAAAGCAGTCAAGGACAATGGAAGGTAGTGTCGAATATCAGAAGCAGTAAATCCAGTTTGGACGTGTCCTGCCAGTTTGCTTCTGGCAAGTTATGATTCACTACACTGGCTAAAAACCAATCTATAGCTCATCCATTTAAATTTCTCCAAATGTGTGATTTCTTTTAATTAAGTGAGATCTCTGC